TTTATTTCTTTTCTTTTTTATTATTTTTGTAATTCTTGCTGTATTTTATTTTAGCTATGTGTCCCATAGCTAAGGCATCCATCGCTAAGTGTTGGGAACTGCTAAAGCTATTTTATTCACCCCATCTGCTGCTCCAAAAAAAAAAAAAAAAAGAAAAAGAAAAAAAGAAAAAGGGCATCTTAAAATAGATGCATTTCCTCTATCTCAAGTTGTAAAAATCATTCAGCACTTGCCGACACGGAAGGGGCTCTGGTACAACGTACTCGCTTGCATGAAGCAAAAAGGTATGAGGGGGAAAAAAACCCAAAACAAAATAGGAAAAAAAAATATAGAATCAATTTGAACAAAACAAAAGCGCAAAAGTCTGTAATTGCTATGGTTATAATATATGTATATGTGAGTGAGGGTATTTATACAGTGTATATATCTACAGTACATACATGTATACACACGCACATATGTATCAACTTAAAATAGATCATGCACTCTAGTCACTGATGGGGACATCATCAGCTAATTAGCCACTGCTGGGGATTGGCAAGGCCAACTGTGAGTCCACAGGCTACAAGGTCACGTGTCCCCATCCTCAATCCCACGGCTGCCACCAGTTTCAGGATCGTCCACACACAGAGAGCCCAAGTGTTGACCGGGAGAGAGGGAGGGTTGGTTCCTTTGGTCCTGCTCTGATGATGAAGACCCCAGGGGATGAGCCTTTGCTCATTTTCTGATTGCAAACACTAAAAGTTCCTCTTGCTCATTAGGGAGAGAGATGGCTTGACAACCACGGCAGACTCCGGGTAGAAGGCTGTGCTGCTGCAGGTCCCCAAGCTGTCCCCAATGGTTTCAATGCACTGAAGGGTGGTGGCAGCAAGAGGAGAGATGAGCAGCCAGAGTCAGCGGACGGGATGACTGAGTATACTCTCAACAGTTATTCAAGTGGGCTGCTGCAAAGAAATATATTGGAGACCAGACCTTACAGTCCATTAGAGGACTCCAGGGGTGAGGGGAGGGCCAAATTCCTTTTCTGATCGTGAATCTTCCTTGGCCTTTCAGACAAAAACCAACCTAGCGTACACCTTTTCTCCCCCGGGAGACTTCTCCGGGTTTCAGCTGGAAGGTCCACGCCTGCAGGTGTGACATAGACCGCAATCCAACCCACCATCCAAGAGTTGACAAAGTGCAGAAATTAGCTGGGCTTTCGGGAACGAAGGGAAGGGGTGGGGGGAAATTCCTCTGTGTGTTTCCTCAATAGACAACAGTTGTGAGTTTTCAAGGCCTTTCAACCAAAGGATCTCCACTGCTAAGGTCCCACCTGAACTCGGTGTTGGAGGTGGATGGACGGGTAGGAAAGGCCTGATAAGCTTCTTGAAGACCATCCTCAAAAGCCTTTTTAAGCTCTTCTTGTTGCAGATCCCAATTGAGAACACACGCAGAAAGGCCGTAAGGAACCTCCAGTGCGGTGGGTGGCTGGCTGAAAAGCTGATGTTTGTGCTATCTTTAGAAAATTAAAGATTGTCCCACCAAAAAGAAAAGAAAAAAAAAATCACCCTAATTGAACCAGATTTTGCACGAATACTATCATCTGGTTAAATAAAAGTCCTAGCTCTCTAGTGAATAATGTGCCTTTTTCTTTACCCATGTATCACCTCTTCAAACAAGCTTGCAGTATATTTATAATAATTATTATAATGATGGGGGGGGGAATAAAATAAAAAGCCAAAGCGAAAGAAAATATAAACCAAAGAGTGAAATCCATGCAAAAGCAGGTCGCTTTAAGGCTGCTATGGTGGGTTCTCCACAGCCCAAGTGCAGCTTATGTTTGTTCTAACTGGGCAATTGCACTGGAAAAAACTGAATTTGGGGGATTTTTTTTTGGGGGGGAGGATGTTGGTGCCCATCAAGGGCTGACATGGTTTATTGTTCATGGGTGTTCAGGGTGCAATAAAGATTCCCTCGTGGGCCAGAGCTGCGGCTGGTATAAATTAAGGGAGTTTTACTAAAGTCAGCAAAGACAAGCCAATGTGGTAACAGCATCTCCTGTGGCAACCCTACCAACTTAATACAGCACCGTGCACATCAGCCTGCCACAATGGGCCATTTAAAAATGCAGGCTGAACCTCACAATCCATTCTTCGGAGGAATTAGCATCATCCCCAGTGCACGGGAGACAGAAAAGCGCCCAGGGTCATCCCGCCTGCCAACGAACTGAGCCAGAAATAAACCCCCGAGGGCCAAACTCACGGTGTAACCGCGACACGGCGCTTCATCCTGGCACTATGCTGCATTTGGCAGGGCAGCATTTGGAGCTAACACTGTAGCACGTTTTAATAAGGGCAACACCTTCGATTCTAATGCTAACGCGGACGAGACAAGCTGCACGCTCCTTAGGCCTCAGCTCGGCACCCCCTGCCCAAGAAGCAGCTCCGCCAACGCGGGACCCATCCCAGGGGCCTAGAATCGGCCCCGACTTCCCCCGGTGGCTGAGGAGTAGCTGGCAGGGAGCACGTGCTCGCAGCCTAGAAAAAGAAATAGCCGCTCAGACTTCCAGCCCCAAACACAGCGCCTTTCAAGCACCCAATAAAATAAAATGAAAAAAATAAAAAATAAATAAAAAATAAAAAGCTGGTTCTGCCTGATGGAGATGAACAGTGTTTAGTGTGGGGCCAGGTCGATAGGCTCTTTAATAAGGCCTTTAATATTCTCTCGCGGGCAGGCTCAGGGTGCGAATGCAGATGCATGCCAGCTCCTTATCGCCTAATATTTCCATGCACCGAGTGGCAGTGGCATTGTATGGAGGGAAGAGGTTCAAAGCTGGTGAGCTCAGATCCAAGGGGCCAGCCGAGATGGGACGTTCCCACCTTGGCCTGCGACCACGGTGCCTGCGTGAGGACGGGGCTGGGAACGAACAGCCTCTGCCTGCATTTCCTGGCAACCTCTATGCAGCTCATTTCTCCAGCCTTGTTTTCCTGGCAAATTCTTCCAGGGTGAAGCTGTTTAATAATATTTTCAGCAGCAGGCAGCCTGCGGAAGAAACGCCGCCAAAGCCCCGCTCCTGCCTCTGCAGGTTTGTCACTTCGGGGCGACCCGGGAGTGGTGGGGGGGGGGAAAGTGATGACCTGAAATCTTTGGTATTTGTTTAGCAGCGAGAGAGGTGTATTAGCAAAGGGGAGAGAAGGGGGAAGGATTTGAACCACCAGCCTGTTTGGGCAGCACCTGCAAGGAGGGACGTGGAGTAACAGCTGCATCTCTTACAGGGCCAGAGGTGAGAGCTGGGGGTGGGACTGCTCGCTCTCCCTTCACCCAGGCACAAAGCAGCTGACAGGGAAAGGCGGGGGAGAAGAAATATTTTTGGAATCTAATCCTCGGTCGTTTTTGAGCACAAATCAAATAGAAGTGGCGGGGAAGCCCTTGGTTGGGAGCCAACTGCAGGCACCTCGTTCCTGGCTCAGCCCGCGAGTTCCCCCGGTGGGTTAAGAATGGTTACTTTCTTCTGGGGGGAAAAAAATAAATCAGCAAGCTCCTTCATTATTTGCTCTCCTATTTCTTTCCATTTGTTTTCTAACTTGGGCTCTTGAGACACCTGCTCGGAGTGAAGCTGGGACCCGAAAGGAAAGGCGCTCCCTTGCTGCCTGACGCCGTCCCCCAAGAAACCCCCTCCCGAGATGGTCCTGGAAATGTGCAGGGCGCCGTGCTTTGGCAAACGGACCGGGATTAAGTCGAAAAGCAGCAGTGTGCAAAAGCAAAACAAACCGTCTTCCCGCCTCTCCCCCCAGAAAAATGTAAGAGCAGCTCCTGCAGCCCAAGCCAGTCAGTGGAAACTTCGGCTGCACATTAAACAGAGGGAGAGTCAAGCTGAAGGGCTGGAAAACTTCCTAAGCATGAGATTCACCAGACTGTGAAATAGCCTCCCTTCTTCTCCAGGAACAACTGGAGAGCCGGTTGCTTGGGTCATTTTAAAATGGGTCTGGACACAGCCCTGGAGAATACACCAGAGGGAACGCTCCTGCCCAGGGTTTTCTTATGGATAAAACATTGCTGCTCGAGTCAAAGCTCGTAGGGAAGCTCCTGAAACCCTGTAGCCTCCCCTTGGTGGAGCCGACACGGGTTTTCTACAGAAACAAGCTGCAATGCGTGCATTTTAATTTTGTTCTTCGGGATTCCCACAGGAACGCAGAACAGCAGCCAAAGCCACAGGGAAAGAGCAGTCCCTTCAGTGCACCCTCCTACCTGGGTCTGGCCAAGGCCTGGCATGACCACCCCTCCAGAAAGGAGATGCCCCCGAGCAAGCACCACACTTGGCTCTAGTGCAGCAGTTTGAGAGTCTCTGGGAGGGGAACAAAAAGGCAGGGGGGTGTGAATACTGTTATTTCTGCTTTGCAATCTCCATTCTTCATCGGTAATTTAAAATGCAACAAGCAAATCTTTATGCAACACGGCCCTCCTGGCTGACGCAGCCTCCTGCTTTCCTGATCCCTGTTGGGACCCTCATGCTGTATCATTTCTACACTGGGAAGATGGGGGAATATTCTGGGGGTAGGGGTGACCCTCTCTTTTCCACCAACGAATGCACAACGCAGGCCTACCCAAGGGCTCAGTCGATTGCAGCTTTGCTCCACGGGCTGTCATGGCCCAGGTCACCCTAACCTGCAGAGACCCACCGATGGGGTGGGAGTTCAGGCTGTCACAACCCAGGCCATGCTAATCTGGAGAGACCCACGGATGGGGTGCGAGTTGCTGTAGACCTACAAACGCCTCCCCGAGCAGCCGGCCCCTGCTCCTACAATGCAAAGCTGCCCAGGTTAGCATCCGCCAGTTGGCAGGGCCAGCTGAGAGCGCGTGCATGTGCATGTTCCACCGTGTCCAATGCACCTCGCGTTGTACGTGCGTGTGCTAAGGGAGGGGCAGGGACAAACCAGAAGGAGGGGAGGGATATGAGTGATTGCAACCTTAAAGCGACCGCTTCCGGACCCGCGTGTTCCAGTTGGCTGGTGTTTGGATCGGCGAGCTCCAGAACAGAGGGAAGAGTCATCTTTGGGGAGGGGAGGGACAAAAAAAAATCTGTGATGCTCCATTGCTTTTTCCCCAAAGGAAAGCAAGACTATTTGGGCGACCGCCGCCTGCGCTGCCCTCCACACACAGAGGGGGGCTCAGTCTCTCAGTGCGACCAGTCATCTCTCCGTTTGGGGACCGAGGTGGAAGAGGGAGGCGAGATCCATCCCGCCATCCCCTGCTCTGAATGAAAAGGAGAGGGCTCCGTGCAGAGCCAAGGTGACTCGGTCAGGGGACAGCAGGGGCCCACTCCTTTCGAGAAGGAAAAGCGAATACGAAGAGTAACAGTGAGAAAGCAAAAAAATAGATTTCTTTTTTTTTCTTCTCTTTCCAAAACTCCATCCTCTGAAAATATCCAGCTGTGAGCAAGCAAGAATTAATTACTCCCCCAAGCTCATCCAGCCCCAGCAGCCTAGCGCTCTTATGAGCAAGACCATCCCCACTTCCCACCAAGCGGCTGGGCTCCAGGGTGAGAAGCCAGGCCCAACATCAAGGGCGGGCAGGGGAACGTCACCCCCGGCCTTCGGCTTAGGCTGATGCCCGTCGGTGACAGGGAGGGAGGAGCGCTGGCATCCGAAACACTCTGCCCCACTTCTCTACAGCTAACATTTTAGAAGAGCCCTCCTTATCCTTAGACGCCGCGATGACAAGATGAGCAAGGGTCCACGTGACGAGAAGGCAAGGGCGTCGGGGTGTTGCCCGGGGTCAGACGGAGAAGAGCAGACGGTGTTTCTGGCATTAGGGGGCAGAAGGAAGAGAAGGAGGAAAGGTGGAGGCGGAAGGAGGCTGCGAAGGCCCCCACTGGGTGAAAGGACGGACCCAGAAGAGGTTATCTTAAGTCATTTGGTGGGGTGCTTCCAGCATTTCCATCAAGAAGGTGTCGATGGGTGTATCTCCTATTAGCTTGAAGAAAAACAGGTGCTCCAGGCATTTCAGGCCAATGGATCGGAGGGCAGGGAGACGGAGCAAGAGCTTTGCAAACCTGCAGGGTGGGACAAAAAAAGGAGAGGAGAACGTGGTTAGACGCCGCAGACAGGACTTTGAGGTGGGACAAGTGACTCCAAACCCTACTGATGCCTGTGTGCCTACTCCAAACACGGTTGGCTCTACCCTATGGTGAAACCCTCCTCATCCAGGCATGTCGCAGAAAAAGTACCATCTGGCTCTCTGCTCTCCAAGTACATGCAATCAATGAGAACATCCCTAACTAACTTCAGTGAAAGGTTTGTGCAACTTCCTCCCCTGCTCAGGCATTTGGTTTCCAGCGGTGCAGGTTTGGGTCCTTCACACCGTAGCAAAGGAGAGAAAAGCATCATGAGCAAGTTCTCTTGTTCGGGGCATCCACACTATTTCACACCAGCTCCTGTTGGACACTGGAACTAGGAAAAAAATCGGCATCGTAACCCCTTTCCCCCCCACAAAAAAAATCCCATCAGGCACTTTTAATGCATTTCGTGAGACTCACTAGGTGCTGAGTGCCTTCGGTGAAGTAATTCAGCATCTCAAAATAAACAGCATGACACAGCTCTGCACAGATGCCACCAGAGGTTAACACATACAGCGCACACACCTCCCTCCTCCTCATCCTCCTCCTCTCGCTGGCTTGAATAAGCACTGCTCCCTCCCCGCTTGGCTGGTGGGATGGGACCACATCCATTTGTACACACTGGCTGAAAGGAGCTCTTTCTCTTCGGTCAGCCTGGTCGAGACACTTTTCATGTTGCACTCACAACCTTTAAAGAAGAGCTGGCAAGCCACAAAGGCCATGCGCAGATTTTGAGGCTCTCTAGTTTTTTAAGAACAAGTCAGGCCGGGTAAGAAAGTCCTTCTGCAAGGACCAACCCAGGGCAGGGGGGAAGGGAATTTGGACCAAATAAGTTTGCAACTGCAAAGGGCAGAGAAGCTTTTCCTACCCTGCTTCTCTCCCTCGAGTGGTCCCATCAGCTCTCTTTGCTTTTCTCCTTACTCAATTTTGGTCTTTGTATAAGTGCTGGTGGGGGAAGGGGGCACAGACAACCCATCCCTTTAATAACTGGGAATGGCTATAGGTATTTATTTTTATTGTCACTCTGCAATCAGGGCTTTAAAATAAGCTGTGCAACATAATGGCTGGATCTGGGCCGGCAAAGGGAGAAGGATCCTGTGCACTCCTATCATATGCACACGCACACACACACACACACATATGCACAAATATATTTTTGCTGAGCTGGCGAGAACAGCGGGACAAGGGCCAGGAAAAACAAATCAGCCCTGCCATCCCATTCAGGAAGTTTCACTTTAAACCAAACCAGATGATGGCTGCAGCTCGCAGATAGGTTTAACCGTGAGATAACTGGCCTGCAGCACAATGCGCCGGAGCCGGGATTGGGAAGGGTGAGAATGGGGCTGATTACATGCGGCTGCTTCGTGTCACGTACGCAACAGGCCCTCCCTGCCAAGGGACCCAGGGAAGGGGCCGAGGGGCGGGGGCATATGGCTGGGATGCAGTTTTGTTTTACTTTGGCAGGTTTCCCTGAAACTGGCTGCTGTGTAGGAGGCTTATTTGGCCAGTGAGTGTTTAATCGCTGTTCCTGTGAGTTGCTGCTCACGGATTTCCACCATTGCCCATTTTTTGAATGAGTCTGAAATCAAGCCTTCAGGGTATCTAAATGCCCCAGGGGTAGCTCTAGTCTTTAGCAAATTCGCTGCAAGGTGCACAACTGCCGAGGATGCATTCGGCTGCACGTTGCGGTGACCGTGTTGTGCCACGAAGCACGAGGAAGAACAGCCTTTGTTATTTTGAACCTCACTTGGTGAGTAACTGCAGGTCCTCCATTTAGGTATTGACTCTCTAATCTGTTTTGGTCCCCTGTTCGGCTCCATCCTCTCCATTACAGAGCCTGGGGCAGGAGGGGAGGCAGCAGCTCCCCTGGGACTATTTTTAGCGTGGGAAGTTTTAGGCTTATTGGTGTCAGAGTGTCTCGAAAAGGCGGGTCTAATGGTCCCACCCATTCACAGCAGGAGGACCTGAGGCACAAAGGGGTGAGCTGACTTGTTCAAGATCTTGAGGCAGTGGTATTGCTGGGGCCAGAATCCACAAGTCCTGCCCAGTGGACCATATCATCCATCACAGGATGGGCCGAGTATGTCCTTCCACCTTTGTTTCATAGCAATCACTGACACAGTCCTCAGGGTCACGGGAACTCAGTGATGTCTTGACCATTGCAGTCTAGGATCATCAAGCCATTTGGGTCTTTACGAGATTTGGGAGGGGTGGCATGTGAAACACAGCCCTCTCCCTTCGCACACGTGTTTCAGTTTCACTGCGGGGCGGACTGCATTCCCTGTCCCTGCGGCTCACGTTCAGACGAATCCAGAAGTCGCGAGCAAAAGACAGGTGGTCACCAGGCCTGAGCCCCACCTCGTAGCTACAAAGCTGTCACAGGCAGGTGGTGTGACCCAACGACTAGCAGACCAGCAGAAGCAGGATAAATTCAAGTGCGCGTTTTGCACTCACACCAGGAGTGTTCACATCAGAGGGTTTTCAAGGAAAGCTCACGGCCAGGCTTTCAAACACAGCTCCCGCTGCATGAGATGCAGGGCTGGCCACTTATTCTGAGCTGAAGCAGTGAAAAGCACTAACAGCCAACGGCCAGTTAAAACTGGGCCCAGGGTGGCTTGAAAGGTTCATTTTTTTTGCCCCGTCAGATGAACGTGAATTGGGTTAGGAACTGAAGACAGGCTCCACCACTTAAGGGAAGTTCATGTTTTCTGATGGGCTCCAAAAAAACCTTTCCCATTGTTTTCCCCAACATCATCCCACCGAGCCCCATCACCTTCCAAAACTCGTGACTGGCAAAAGTGTTCCCCCAACCCCTTCCCCAGTTACCTGCCCATCTGGCAAGGCACACAAAGCCCTGACCCTACACCCCACACAAGTCAGATCATGTACTATTCAGCCAGCCTGCCCCGGTCCAGCAAATCATCACCTCCAAGCAATAACTTTGGCCAGCTTGCCTCCATCCTTGTTCAAAGAAATTACTGTCATAAAGGGATCCATGATTCTGAACGTCCAATAAAGCCAGCTGACCTGCAAGTCCCCTTTTCTCAGCCAGTTTGCCTTGTTGACTGACCTACACACCCGTGCACTGACATCGACCCGCAGGCCTTTTCCAGCTTTTTCCAGCTCTGCAGCAACTGGGAAAATGCACCCACTCAGATTCTGGAGAAATGCAGGAAAGCCGTTCCAAATTCCTCCTCCCATTCCCAGCTGTATTGGGAGGAGGTGGAGAGGGCGAGAAGCTTCAATTGAGGCTTTCACTTCCCAGCAGTGATGCTCATCTGCCACTGAAAATTAACTCCGTGTGTGTCTTGTTTTTCTGTGGTTTGCTCTTGGTGGTTTCCAAAAGGGAAACGATACCCCTGTGTGTGCTCATCCGGCTGCTGTACGTTTCTCCTGGCTGCAGCAGAGAACCAGAAGAAAGCCAGGGGATCTACTCTGGGTGCTCCCCATGGAGAAACGTAGCACCCCTGTGATTTAGCTTATGATGGAAGGCAATGAGCAACGACTACCTGTAAGAAAGCTTCTTTCAGGCTTGCAAAGGGCCTGCAATCCCCAGAAGAAAGGTACTGCATGAATAGTACTGGTATTATTTGGCAGAGGGAAGGACACCATTTGGAAAACCAGCACTGCCAAAGGGCCTTCCTTGTAGCGAAGAAGAAAAAAAAACACTAGACCAGCCCTTTTTGGGGCTGCCACCCCTGTTTGAGTACTTACCTTCCAGGCTGGTCAGGGTATTTGTGTTTGCAGTATGCCTCTAGCGACGCATATACCTTCTCACGTAAGGCCTCCACCTCGGCGGGGTTGGAGAGACCTTTTGAATCTGAAACATGATAAAGACCCAGATGAATGCAAGCCCTGGACATTTTCAGGAAGGCAAAAGCCATGAGCATCTCCCAGGAATATCTGTTGAGGCACAGGATGCAGCCCGGTCTATCCCAACATGCCTAGCAGACAGGGCTGAATGGCTCAGGACCCTGAGTCTCAGTTTGGATGCTGGCTTTCTTTTTGGATAACCAAACAGCATATCAGGGCTCTCAGTAAGGAGGGCTGTAGGGTATCCTCTTTGAAATGAGTCCAGGCTGACTCGGCGGGTGTATGCTCCTGTTCAAAGCCCAGACGGCAGACTATTAGCAGCTACAGCAGGCAAGAGAATAGAAATGGAGACCGAAGTGCTCTCAGCACCCTTAGCGCGGTCCTCTCCAGGTCAGGGCTGCAGTCTGGCATGAAGGTGGAGCTGGGGACTGGCACAGGGGAGGTAGGAAGTTGCATTCGTGGTGTTGTGCCTGCCTTGAGGTCTCCCTTACACCTTTGCACTCCACCTTCTTGCAATGAGCATTACCCTTCAAGGCTGAGACTCTACCTCCGCTTGGAAAACCCACCCTCCCTAGGTCCTAGCAAACCACAGGGAAACCAGGGAAGGGAAGGAAAACAGCAACCAATGGATTTCGATAGCCGATTAGGCCTGCTTCCACCCTGGGAGCAGGTGGGGGTGGGGAAGCTACAAGGCCAGCTACTGTTTCTACCGTGCGGCAAACAATCCTCTTTAAAAGAAAAAAAGAGAGAGCGAGAGAGTGTGCACTCCAGTAAAGTGAGGAAGACGGCTCCCCGGCAGCTCTGGAGTTAGTGCCAGCATCGCTCCCAGGAGAGACGGGCAGCACTGGTATCAACCCCACCGTGCCCGAGGGTCAGGAGTTTGGTCTCTGCTGATTATGTCCCTGGCCTCCCTGCTCAGACTTCTGGTAAGGAGCCAACTGGTATTTTTGGCCCATTGCAAGCTAAACCCTGGCTTGTCCCCCACCCCCTTCAAAATACATTGCACGGAGAACCTTTCCCCTCCTCACCCCCAAGCAGCAATAACCGCCAGCCGCTCCAGAGCTGGTCTGGGCACCACTTGGCCATCAACAAGGGATGCTTTCTCCAGCCCAGTCCTCAATCCCCTGAGCCACAAGACTCAGCCCTGAAGTTTAAAGACAGTCAAGGAATTGGGACCATTTTAATCCTTCACCTCTTACAGGCTGCTTCATAAAAGGATAAATGGCACTGGTTGTAGCAGTATCAGTATCCTTGCAAGGAGGATCTGGGCACAAGATGGAGATCACTGAACTGATTTCCCACCAGGAGAAAGAGTCCACTCTTACCTGCTGCTCCTCTGTTGCCCATGCTTTGAGAAGGCTTAAAGCCCAAATGTCCCCAGTTGCACAGTTACACTCAAAAGATTTCTTAATCTGATCCGTCCTCTCGCCCTGAATAATTTCACATTTGGGTCTGCCCCCTTCAATGTTTAACCAAACTATTCAGTCCTTCCCAAGAGCCTGACTCCCAGGTACTTTCAGCTTCAATGCAACAAACAGGGATCTGCATTTTCTCCGATTTTAAAAAATCCCCAATTTTCAGATTAAAAAAAGGAACACCAAATCCACATTTTTCCATGATTAAAATGAAGTGCCGCTAATATTTAGATGTAGAGGTAGATGTAGTGGTGTTTCACTTTAATCATGGAAAAATGTGGATTGAGGGTTGCTTTTTTAAATCTGAAAATTGGGGATTTTTTTATTTATTTTTTAATCTGAGAAAACCAGGATCCCTGCTAATGAGTTCTGGGAGAGCTCGGGTACCTGAATGCCCTGAAGATGGCTGTTGGCAGCAGCTACAGGTTCAGTTTGCTTGACTGAAGTCCTATCATTCCCTACTCTTCACATCTCAAATGGACTATGTGTGGGTCACTTAGAAAGTCTTACCAAAGGCTTTCAAGCTCTATTGAAGCCACTGGTTTGTGGTTTTCCTCCACGGGAGCCCCTGTAGCACAGCCAAGAGAAAAGTCTGTGTTTTGGCAGATCTCTGGATGACTGGGTAAGGGTTTAACTTTCCCATGCTGTTCTCCTTCCCGAGCCCAGACCACAGCCCCTAGGTCTCCTGACCATGTCAAAATAGGTGGAGCATCTTATCTGTTTTCAGTAGGACAAAAGGACTGCCAGGGGCCTGACATCCCAGAGAAAATGTGCGATGGGAACCTTGCCAAACTTTTTCTCTTTCACCATACATGGTCAGGTTCAAACTAGGAATAATGAGTTACTTAAGATTAATGACCAAAAAAAAAAAAGACAAAACTGAAAAGCAAGCTGTCAGCCATGCTGGAAAAAGCAAGCTAGTCGAGGGCTGGTTACACTTGGAAATCCCACCACTCACTATGACAGTGATGGTTCACGGGGAGTGGAGGTGGGACTCATGTCACCTACTGTCCCTCTGATCACTGGGCTAAGGCTGTGGTTTGCAACCTGTGGTCCATGAACCCCTGGGGGTACACACACTATGTCTAAAGGGGCATGTGAAAAATGACTATGAAAATAAAGTTTCAACTCAAAGGGGTCCACACCGCCTTTTGAACTGCAAATGAAAAGGAGTTGAAAACCACTGGGCTAAGACATTTTAGGACTGGCTTCCAGATATTTCAAGGTCACCAAGACAGACTCTTTCAAGTCTAACCTGGGGTAATCATCTAACCAAAAAAAAAAAGTCTCTGCCTCTTGTAACCCAACTCAAGGCACTCTGGAGTCCGTAAGGTGGTCAGCATTGAAACCTGGAAGTTACAGCTGGAGAATTCCTTTTACATCATCTAGTCCAGTGCTTCTCAACCCATGGGGCATGACCCAAAATTTTGTCACAAGAATATGGGAAAGGGCCGTGACCAAACTTTAAAAATGAATTCTCCTTTAAAGGAGAAAAATGTGGGAAGCTGTGGCTTTTTCCTTGCAGGCTGGCAGAGCTCCAGCCTGCAAGGGGATGCTTGGGGCTCCCCCTGCCCCATACACCCACCCCCTGCCCCACACACTGGGGGGCTGGGGCCTGGGGGTGAGGGTCAGGAGTCAAAGGCACTGGATCGGGACTGGCCGTCAGTGTTTACAAATGGGTCCTTGTCCAAAAAAGGTCGGGAACCACTGGTCTACTCCATCTCCTGACTAGTGCAGGATAATAGCCTATACCCTTATCCAGCTGTTGTGGAAGAGTTCGCAGCTGAGGCTGATAATAAATTTCCTCATTTGGTTCCTCATCTTAAAACATCGCTTTTATGGAGGCCAGCTACAGATTTCAGCAGATAACGGAACATTTTTGACGTATAAAAACTGTGTTGCTTTCCCTTAAATGATTCGCTCTTCAGCAAGTTGGCCTGTGGGGGTGGGAGCGTCAAAGGAGGTTGATACAGTTCTTCCCATTAAGCATCAGCTGAGAATCCAGTCCATCAGATGCAAGTGGAAAAAACTCTGCATCTGAATATGATGGAAGTAACCTCCAGATGAAGTGGTATCCACCCATTTTTACACCAAGAGGATTTTTTTCAGCTAGGCAGAATTCCTGCAAGGCTATTTCATCTGTATGTGGCCTGCTCCTCTCTATGCCCCTTTGTTTGAAAGGGAAATACAACATTTGTTTTAGCACCTGAAAAACTAGTTATGGCTAGTTCCCTTCCTCCATCAGCCCCAGATGCGATGGCGACTGCCCAGAAAGCTGGCATCCCCATCTTCAGAGCTCCACTTTGCTTCTCACTCTCCTCGCTCATCCTGTTCTCGCTGCGCTTGGTGCCTAGAGTTATTTGCACTTGGATCGTACGGCCAATAAAAGAAAGAGCCAAGCTAACAGCACCAAGCCAAGAGGGCTCTGGAGCACAAATGAGGGATGGGGCGAACATACCTGGGTTGAAGAGAACGATGGCCCGCAGGCAGCCCAGCTCTGTCTTGTCCATCTGCATGTCCCGCATTTTTGACACGAGTTCTGTCAGTACTCTGCAAAGGACACGGGCACACAATGGATCAGCATTTCATGGATTTCATAGACATTAGGGCTGGAAGGGACCTCAGAAGATCACCCAGTCCAGCCCCCTGCCCCAGGGGCAGGAAGAAGAGACCTGCAGTTCATATGACAGACCCTCTGCTAATGTAAACTGATGTTACCTCTGCTGAAGTCAATTTTCACCGTGTGATAAATGAATTTAGTTCTCCCCTCCATGCTATTATTACACAATTAGGAGCTTCTACAATTCCTGTGAGATGCAATGGGGGCCATAAAGACTGGTTTTGGAGAGATCTGTCGGAGAATGTGACATTGGAGAAGGCCTAAAAATAAAAAGCCAGGTATCCAAAAGCAATTTCCTCTGCCAGTAATTTTTATTGTTCCCTTTGCTCTTACTGCAGGTGTTTGTGTTTAAATGTTTTTCACTTGCTGCCCAACTTTTTCTATTAAATCTTTCAGGGTAGACACAATCCCAATGCTTGTGACCTCACTGGAAAAGAATAATGTCACCCGGGTTGCAAGGGTGATTCTCTCGCAAACTCAGTGAGGCAAACATAGTTAGTAGCCTCTTATTTTCTACACAACTGTCTCCAATAATTATCCATGTAAATGAGGCCCTCGGAATGAGTGAAGTGTTCAAAGTAATATTTCACTTGGCGTGGAAATCTCATTTTGGAACAACTTTTCGGGGGGGACAACATTAAAAAAAAGCCCTGAGGACAGGAACATGGAGCTGGCTGGAAATTTTTGGTGCTTTTATATTATGAAAATAATAGTATTTTGGTTCAATTAAATAAGAAAAAGTGGTTTCTTCATGACATTATACCCCCAAGGACCCCTGGAAAGATGCACTGATTTTCACTGGGTGGGCCTCTCCAAAGCTATTCTGAATTGATCGTTCCTGTGTACTGAGAAGAAAAGCACTGAAGTTACTGCCCAGAGTGAAGCCTGTTCCCATACACACAGTGTGGCTATTGCATCTCAATCCTGGCCTGCAGCTCCATCCCCTCCAGCTGAGTCCCCCCCCCCGCCCCCACTTCAGATGTAGACTGCTGCTCCAGTCTTGGGTCTCTCCTACCATTAGATGCACAATCTAGACTTCAAGGAGCCTTATGGTCTGGAGAAACCGTCTTTAGCAGCCACTCAGGGACCACAGAAATACAACAGGAGCACGGCTAGATCAAGTGAAGATGGGCAGCCATCCCCAACCCCACCCAATCTTCATCACCCCAGGCCTTGGACCCACCTGTCAAAGATGGCACCGACCCCTGCGCTGTGCGCGCTGTTCCGATGGACGTGGAGGCCAGTAGCTAGGAGGATCCCGTCTTTCACAGCTATCGAGCGGTGGGAGAAGGAGGCGATGAGCAGTTCGTTCCAGCCTGGAGACAGGAAACAAGGAGGGACAAGGGTGAGTATCAACGCGTCCTGCATGAATCAGCCAGGTCCCATCCCTGACACTAATCCCTTGCCAGAAGGGAAGAAGGATTGCAACTGAGCTCTGCTCTCCCCACTTCATTCCTGGGTGCCTCTCCCAGGAAACACCAAGCGAGACACCAAATATTCTCTGGAAAAGCCCCTTCTCCTGCTTGTCTGAAGGGACAGCACTGGGAAAAACAAGGCACTGGAAACGTATGCGGGGAATAAAGTCCCAAAGAAATGCAAAAAACTCTAGGGTTCAGAGATGATACCTTTTATTAGACCAACCAAGAAATGGCAAAAAAATTACCCTGGGAATAAAGTCCATCTTTTCTAATTGGTCATAAGATATTCCCAACCCCAATTAAGAGGGCATTCCTCTGACTGCCTATAGGCAGGGACCTGGCAGCTGCAATAAGAACAAGGGTCAAGATATAGGGTTGGCTGTAGAAAGTGGATTAACCATTCGAGGTGAGTGGAGAATTGCAGGAATCATGTTGGCAGGTGGGAACGAGCTTCCCCCAGGTGGCTTTATCATGTCAACAGTTGGACTCTCTGCAATTGCAGGCCCAGACCTGGACCTAACGCTACTCAAGGCCAACCTGAGAACTTCCCCTCTTCCAGCACGCAGGCCCTACACAGCTATGGCACCGCATATCACCCCTGACCTGCATTCCCCTTCTGGTACTTGCTAGTTGCCCACACAGCTTCAAGACCACTTTCTTGTGCCTCTCAAGCTACGACAGTCCTGGGCCTCTCAAAGCACAGGGCACAAACTGCACATGAAAAAGTGCCATGGCTCTGTCATCTCAGCCAATGTGTGCATGAATACAAGTCTTCCAAACAGAGAGACTTTGTGGGTAATCCACATAATCTCCATCATGATTTATCAGTGTTTAGCATCTACAGGACCCAAACAAGATAGGAGACTCACTTATGGGGTGTGCCTGAAGACATGAAGACAGCGAGAGCGTCTCCCTGGCCCAACAGACCACGTGATCTAAGCAGATAAGACAACGGATGGGGAAACGAGCCATTGGAAATGGATGCAGGGAATAAAGTCCATCTTTTCTAGCCCCAGCTAAGAGGGCATTTCTCTGACTGCCTACAGGGAGGGACCTGGGGGCTGCAACAAGAACAAGGGTTAGCATTACCCCCATTTTACAAGCAGCAAGCCGAGACCAGGCTGGTTTACCCAAGAAACCTGTGTTAGAGGCGGGTATTGAATCCCCTGCAGCTCCAACCCAATGCCCTAACTACGTAAGAATCACTTCCTTTGAAGACCACTAAACCTCTGTGGGGAATAAAAAAAAAAGACACCAAGGTTTCACACATTGGTTTCACTTGTGAAGTGGACGTAGGCAACTATCAGCAAAGCAGTCAGCACCTTCACGCCAGACCCACCAACCGTTCCTCCTGATAACCGCTCCGCCCTATTAAAATATCCTCGCGCCTCAAATACCAAGGACAACCTCCTTCCCCCATCTTAGACCCCTTGCCAGCCTGCTGTCTCAAGTGTCAGGACCACCTCTGGTCACTTCAATCATCTCCATTTTAAGCCCAAATTTGAGAAAGGTAGCAAAAAAAATTCCCGTGAAAGCAGACTTCACGTGTTGGGTTTTCTTGCCCTTGAGGAAGTCTGAGAAGGACAGATTTTAAATGATTAAACATTACGCAAGCAAGGCTGACTGTGGGCCTGTCTCGCTCCTGCTCCTCCAAAGATCTGACTTCTATTTAATTTTGCCTCAGAGGATGCATGAACAAATCCAACTGACGCTCTTAGCTAAATTTTAATACTTGAATATTTCATGGGCAGCTGTTCTCAACAGACCGTGCTCTACACTCAATAATAGATAAAGCCACTGGTTAAAAGACTTCAGGGAGGTTATCTGAGGCCCCGCTTGATAGAGACACTTGGAGTTTTGATTCTGGCGGTGTTAGTCCCGATGTTGTCTTTCCCAGACCCCAATGCTTGGCCTGCCTCGGTAGGACCAGCCTCTTGAGCATGCCATCAGGGTACGGTACAGCAATGCCAAAGGTCAGAGCTGTAGCAGAAATAACATGGCTAAGATGCTACAGAGTTGGCAGCCTGCTTTGGCTTTGCCTCCTGGAGCAGCCCGTGCAAAATTCAACACATCTGAGCGGACACTCGACAAGGCTCCCCGCCAGGCACTGGGGCAGGATGATCGAGAGGAGGCGGGAGGGAAAGGAGATCCACTGCAAATGGACCTGAATCTGGTGGCGCTTGCATTTTAACCCTGAGGATGTTGCTCCTGAATTGCACCAGAATAAATGAGAGAGTCATGTTTATTGAAAAAGGCAACGCACCAGCAAAGTTAGGGTCACCATCAGGGAATTTAGACCTAATATTTGGGTTGTCTTCCTATTAGGCTGGTTTGACAGAATCTAAAACTGTAGTAATGACTCCTTTTTTTTTTTTAAACTCAATACAACAGTTGTTCTTTGCCTGGATTTAACTCTTCTTCTCTGGGGTATATTTGCACAGAGATCCCATTTTGATCCCATTTGCCTAGTTGTTTTGGGGGGGGTTGGTTTTTTTTTACTCCAAACACTTCTCCAGCATGATGCTTGGGGACTGCCTCTTCAGAAATAATTCTGTTTGCTGGTTCCATCGAAGGCTTTGCAAACACAGCTTTATTAAGTCCTCAAACACCCCTGAAAACAAGGGGAAGTATTATTATCACAGCAGCGGTAGCAGCACAAGGAGCGGTCATGTGATCCGCCCAAAATCAAGAGCAGGCGATGGAGCTAGAAATACAATCCCGGAGTCCTGATTCCCAGACTACAGCTATAACCACCAACAAGGCATGTGACTTGCTGTGACAATGAGAATTAACTTGCAGTGAAAAGAGAGGAAATCCAAAACCGATAGAAGGAAATGCTGTCTCTGCACGCATGAGTAAACCGTGGCACTTGCTGCCGTAGGGAGTCATGGACGCCAAGAGTTTAGCAGGGTGCCACAAGGGGGGCGGACACGTCTGTGCATCCCTAGAGAGTGCAAGGGCCATCTGCGTTTGTGCATCATGGATCAAAATGACCTGGATTATCCTGCCTCTGCCTACTCCACAGTGCTTACACCTTTCTCTGGGTTTGGCCGCTGGATGTGGGGCTCAGGTCTGAATAGTTTCTGAGCTCCTAACGACTAACAAATACATGCTTGAGTGTGGTCCACAGCAGCACCGGGGTTGCAGTAGTGCATATTTTGGAGTTGCTGAGAAGTTTTCAAAGTCCTAAGAAATCTGAAACATGACAGTGAAAACTGATTGCTAACGTGACTTCCCCAACCTGAGCAATGTCCTGTCTATAGTGACCGGATCCTTTCCAAGTAAGATAAGACGAATGCAGCGGGGGGGGGGAATCAGGGGCTTAATACTGGGGGCTTTCTACAAAAATATACTTTGGGAGGGGGGAAAAAGCATCGGAAAAGAGCTAGAAATGAATGGATCGCTAAAACCTCTGGAAACCATCCCTTGTTATAACTATAGAAAAGGATGCCTTCCATGTAAAATCAATAGCGACTCCCTTCATCGACTTCATTGAGTCTTTGGCTCTTCTCCCTTCTTGGAGATAAAAGCTTTGCTGCTATTTCTCTGCATTGTGACTATTAATTGTGTCATTCTCCCTACGGTGAAAGGTTATTTTTTGAGGCAGACAAAAGTGCAGCATCTCCTGGCGGAGACTGTTGCGCGCTGGGACATATCACCTCCTCTGGAAGCCTGGTCCACAGCTGGGCCCCCCTGAGAACATTTGTCCTCGGTGCTTATATGCTTAATCCTAGTCTTTACTCCATGTGACCAGGATTCAGAGCATTGCGTAGCTAAGCAAGAACCCCATGCCTTCATTCCCCTGGCTTTCCTAGCGACCGCATTTTGAAGACCATACAAAATTTCCAACTCAGTTCTCCAGATATTATTTGAAGACATCTTTGGCTGCTAGAAACCCTAGCTGAGTGGAGGCCCACTATGCAAGGCACTGTTTGTGCACATACAGAGAATTTACAGTCTTAATAGGCAAGGCAAAGGAAGCATTATGTCCATTTTACAGATGAGCAACTGAGGTGCAGAGTGGCTGAGGTTGCACAAAGATCCCAGACATGGACACCAGGTATCCTGAGTTCCTGCCTTGTGCTTTAACCCCAAGACATCCCCCTGGAGCACTATACCTCACCAGTACACCAGCGCTCTGATTTCTGATTTACCAAGCAGTAAAGTGCACGGTGCAGACCTATGAATAATGGCAGTCTTCTTCCAATGTCATCCTTTTCAGGAAGCAGTTTTAATAACACAATGCACTTGCAAAAAGTTGGGCTTCCACTTTTGTAAGCAAACTACTCCGGGGGAACGAGCTGAATACTCTTTGATCGGCTTTCACAAAGTTTCGTACCCGAGCCCACATTCATCCAAGTTCTCACTTCTCGAATCTCGCCCTTTCCGTTCTTTTGTGCACAGCTTCTAGCATTTGGGCTGAAACGTACTTAACAGAACAAGGCATTTTTCACACCTAGCTGCTTTTGATCCCCTGAAACCCCTATCCACAGGTCCCCTGCAGCAAAAGGAAATTCAGCATGAGCCTAGAGACTGTTATTTTTTCATCTGGGTGGGTGGGAAAGGAAGGGTCCTATTTTCCCCTTTTCTGTTTCTCATTATGACCAAATATGCCATTTCATGAAATTTCACAAAAATCCCACACCCGATCTCTTTCAAGTCGCACAGCAAGGGGGAAGATATTACACGGTCCCTTCAGACTTGAACAGCCCAGCAAACTTCTGCTAGAGTCGCCTCTGCAATTGCCTATCATCACAGATTAAATGGACCGATTTGCAGCTGGCTCAACATTTTGGACCGTGCTTGGTGATGTGTCTCTTGAGGCTTTTAATATTCTACCTGGCAACTGAATGATCAGAGGCTATAATTCAGAAGCAACTGGTGACCTTCTAGTTGTATTGTACTCGATAGAAACCTAATACCCGTCGCCAGAAGAAGGTACCACCTACCCTGACCTGTCTTGATAAGATCTCCCTCCTATACTTTCCCAGTGAGGACTCACCTGCTCTGAGCAAAATGACCTGGTCATCCAGCGGCAGCTCCGAGAAGTGGGGGATTCTCTTTGCCCATTCCACCAAGGTGAAGAGCTGTTTGTCCGCTGCTTGGCATATGTTGGTTACCGGGTCGTTGGGCTGCAAAGAAAAGAGTGCTTAGCAGGAGGCACCATGAAGAAGGAGGTTTAGAGAAGCTGCTGGGATGGATCCCCTCTCTCTGAGAAACCTTAGGAGCAAGATCAATTGTTCCATGCACTACCTTGCATTGCCCCCCTTTTGCGTGACCTTCCCAGGCTAGACATGCATCTTAGGAGACACGGTGCATGGCTGGGGGGACGTTTAGCATGTGCCCGCACAAGCAAACCGAGGCCAGGGGTTCAGGCACTCAGGGTAAATGCATTGCTCGTTGCCTCAGAGATATCAGTTCCATCTCTGCTGCTGAGGTGTTATCACCCAGGGACCTTGAAACGGAGAAGTGGCTAATTAGACCCACCTACAAAGAAACCACCAACTCCTTGGACCAGCCCATCAGGCTCTAAGATGCTGAGCTTACTGGCTTCTGTGAACTTTTTCAGGCAGCATGGGGGAAAGCTGACAAAGTCCCTCCATGTCATTCTGCTCATAATGATCCATATCAGAGTAGCATTGAACAGTACTGAGATTACCTAGCTCCAGCGCACGAGATGTCCTAGGGAGAGTTTGCCCTGTAGCACTTACAACCAAAGGCAGCACAAGGTGGGAGGAGAAAGGCAGGGAAAGATGTAGCTGCTTGCCCAGTGCAGGTCTGTAGTACCAGAGCTGGGAATGAGCCTCAGTATCTTAGGGCATGTCTACATGTGCATGAATGCGCTTTAGTTAATGAGCATTAAATCTAGTACCTCCATCGTAAGCTACTAGGAAAATGTGCATTTGCCTGGCTTAAGTAAAGTGCGTGCTTTTTAAGTGACGCTTAATGTGCATTCGCTTATTGTAATGCTTATTAAGTAAAAAGCACTTTTTTTACGGGATGCTTTAATGAGCATTCAAATAGACTAATGCACATTAAAGTGCATGTGTAAACGTGCCCTTAAGACCCAGCCCAGTGCACTGCTCAAAAGACCCTTCTGACTGCCAGTGATCCTCAACCAAGATGCCTCAGGTCTCAAATCCTGTGCAATATTAGCACCGTTAGGTGTGAAATCACCTACACACGATTCACAAGATAAACCCAGAGAATTCAACTAAGAATCCCAAGTCAGCAACCCTCTGACCTGCTGCAGGGTCTTTTTGAGCTCTTTGCAACAGAAGAATTGCTCTGTTGTTTTTCTATAGTCAAAACCCGAGTGGAAGCTAAGAGCTGGCATTTTGTGAGCGGGGCCCTGAGTCCAATGAAGGAGGCTTCGAGACGAACAAAATTGAGAACCGCTCCTCTAGCTGGTACAAATCTGGACCTTTACCAAGCCAGAACAAAACGAAAGAAAGGGAGGAGTGTGTGTGGAGGAGGAAATCCGCTTTCTCCCAGCCTCCTGCTGCCTGGGAGGGTGCTGTTCACATGTTCTGAGAGCCAGGATCTCGTAATTCAATAAAACACAACAATGGGGGCATTAAAACCGGAGGAAAATCCTTCCCTTTGAAATACGACCCAATAACAAAAACCATCTGCTCTTCAGTAGGACATGCAGCCTAAACAGACAAAATCCCTGTTTAAAGGAGCTGCTAACAGCTCAAGTGGGTCTGTGATTACAGATAGTCCAACCCTGATGGAAGAAGGAAAGAATTATCATCTCGAGGGGGCGGGGGGGGGTGTGTGTGTGTGTGTGTGTGTGTACACACACACACGAACTTCAGTTCACATCTCTAAAGGGGTATGTATGAGTCTACATGTGCGCACACAATTATAGATCTCCGTTTTGAAGCAGAAGCTGGGAAGTGCTGTTCTTTTCCTCCAGGACCTTACAACAGCATTTACAATAAGAACACAGAATATGAATTTATTTTACCTTCGGACTGCATGGGGAAATCATAGTAACCCAGGGAAGCCTGTGTATGAAGATATACTACCTGTGCCAACTGTCCATTTATGAGCAAATGTTACCACCCTTGCTGACAATGAGCTGTGCGTTGTCTATGGACTAGTCCTCATTAAAGCAACGATGGTTTGCAGAGCAAAGCGCGAGTCTCATGGGCGCAAAATGTGATATGCTTATTTGTGCTGAATAGGAATTTACAGGATTAATCCCACTAAAGCCAGTGGGAGCTCATGGTATTGCAGTCGGTCCTATTAGGAGTTGATACAGTCTGTATTCTCCACGGGGGAAGATGTCTCTTTCCCTGCCTTTTTCACAGCCTCAAGTGCATTATCAGTTTTTCGAACCTGTATCTAGACAGCACACTTATTACTGACCCAGATGCATTCAGGGATGTTTCTGTCTAACAGATGAGGTCTTGAAGGAACAAGACACGCAATGCAGCAAGCTGGACCAACAAGCAGAGTCTCTAACACTGTCAAAATAAAAATCACTCAGGATGTGTCTGAAGTACCTGCAGTCACCTCTTTCCCACTGAAAGAGAGAATGGCCATAATAATACCTTCATGGGCCATCCCAAAAGCCCAGGAGACATTGCGTCTGGGAACTGATGCAGACCTATGAAAGTACTGGGGGCAGGAAGAAGTGCACAAAGCTAGAACTCTTGGTTCAGAAATGATACCTTTTATAAGACCAACTGAGAAATTGCAAAAAAAAGAAAAAATTATCATTTTCTGATCCCCGGGGGCAGGAATATGGGGGAAGGATGTATAACCAGATCCTGGCTTCGGTGTGGTATGTCCACCTGACTAGGAGGAGAGATGGGTTGAGAGGAGAATTCGGGAAGGAAATGATCACGTTTTAATGACCACACAACAGCTAAGACCAGAAAGGAGCCACTTACAGAGATGGGATCCTTCGGAAATGTGGTCTACAAGTCAGGACCACAAAAAAACCAACACGGTGAGCAAGACGGAAAAGGGAAAGTGAGGAAGCAGAAAGGGAGCCGAAAGGAAGGAAAGAGCGGTTTCTAAAGCAGCGCTGAGGTCCCATAAGCCAAACAGCTCCGTGTTGTTTTTCATCTTGATTCTTCCACTCAGAAACTGCTTTAGTCATTTGAAAATAAGGATACATTGCAGAGAAAAGTGTTAAAATTAAAATATTGAAAAATATCCACTCTCCCCCACAACTTTTTCCAAGTAACACACAGGAATCCCAGTCTTTTGACCCTCAGACATCCATGCTCTTAGCCTCTTAAAAGAAACCACGATGCCGCTCGCAAAAGTGCCTACCCTAGATTATTCTGCAGCCACATAAAAGTAAATGTTAACTTAGCACCTAGGTGGCCAACAGCATAAATCCTCGGTACTTAAAAATAACAAGCACTTGGCAAGTGTTAAGACACCGGAGTATTTTCACCTGTTACTTGTAGAGATAGATGGGTGCAGTCTTGGGTTTAAGTCCAAGTTGAAAGGTGCTGGGAATTTCTTAAGAGTTTTCGTCCTTCTTGCTCTTTCCCTGCTTTAAGGGGCACGAGGAAAACCAGGTAGCAGGGCAACGTGGCCTGGAGGCCCGGGGCCACAGAAAGAAGTGCTCTGCTTTGTGGATTTAGGCAGGCGAGGTTATTTGGGTAAACGCGATATCTTTTATTAGACCGATTAAATAGTTGGAAAAGTTGTTCTTTGTGAGCTTTCGGGTACAAACACCCTCCTTCAGGCAGAGGGAGAGGCGCTGTTAGGACGGGCACTCTTCCTTGGAAGTGTCAGGTTGAAAACAGAGTACAGGGCTGCCCAGGGGGAGGCAGGGCAAGTCATGAGGCAGATCTCCTGCGTTTTAGCAGGATCCATATCTAATCATCCCACCTCCCACGCTGAAAGGGAGCTTGAATCCAAACACCAGGAACAACCCCGCTCCACAGAGACTGCAGGATGCAGTGTGAGCACTGCCTGCCTATGCTGCCTTTCACCCAAAGTCCTGAAGTGCTACTAGGAAGGGTTTTTAAACCCAAAAGCTTGCTAAGAATTTTTTCTTTTCCAACTATTGAAGTTGGTCTAATAAAAGATATGCCATTAGGAACAATGTCAAGCCTTATCATCCTGGTGAGGCAAGGAAAAATGGTCCTTGCTGTACATGGCAGCTGGGGAATAGGAGATTGCAAAAGCTACCATTTCAGCAGTGGCCAAAGATCTGGGCTATTCAACTGGAGAAGAAAATGTCTCTCAAAGCTGAACTCCCCACAAAACTCAGACAACTGGGAAGACAAGTCGCTTGCAAAAAACCTAGAGCCTGGCAGCTCGGTCCTTCCTCACGATACAAGTTGAAGTCAGAGCTGGGAGAAGAGCCCAGCTCTGCTGCACCGTGTGCAGGAATGACGGAGACGGCCCTCCAGTTCACATGTGCACACTCAGCTGGGAGACTACGTGCTCGAGGAGACTCCCACCCACCACCCAATAGGGAAACCCTTCGTTTTCAAGCTGCGTGCATTAAAACAGCTTTTTCACGAGAATTTCCTATCTCAACAAAGGCTGTTTGATTTTGTTCTGCTTCTGAGAGCTGGGCTTCCTCAATGAGGTCCCCCCTCTGGAGAAGATGTGCAGCAAATTAAGCAGCTGGGCACGGCTCCATCTTTAAGAGCACAGAGATTAGCACTGTGGACTCGGGGCTTTGTTTAAACCTCCTCTCCAGGGGTTAATGGGTCCAGGGGTCACGTCCTCGGTGACCAGAACAAGTGCTGACGAGGTTGGGAGGCCGTCCCCATCATCCCATGCCAGGGCCGGAGAGGAGAGACAAGCCCATGTCAGTGTGATAGCCCTTCCCAAGTGCTTTAATTATACCTCACATCTCCATTCTGGGAACAGCCACAGTGTTTACGGGCAGAATTTTAATCACCGTAGCATGAGCCGCAGCTAACATTATCACCCTCGCGAGCTGGAAAAACTCTGCCTGCCTCCAACGAAAGCATCTGTTGAGAGCTTTTGGAAACCCTCCTCGGCACCCGGTAAGCAAATCCTTCCTGCGGCAAATGAAATGGGCACGGTGCTGGAGCGTGACAGCGTGAAAAGGACACGCCGGCACCTGATCCTTCTGGAGAAGATGAGCTTGGAGGCATCTTCCAGAAAACGGTGACCTGAA